GGGAACATTGGAGTCCTCCATCACTGAAGCAAGCAAGCCTCATGTTAGTTTCAAGCTGCCTGGCTGCCGGCCGCCATCTTGGCAGGCAGTTAATTTGCATATCTCGCTGATTAGCCAATGGGAAGGGTATCGGTCGTACGCCAATTACCATGTTTCTCTTTTATTAGATAGGATGATCCACACCTGTGAGGGATTTTGATAGTCGAGGAATCTGTGTATAGGTAGAGTGAGGTGGCATATTAAGTCTCTGTACCTTCTGTAGAATTTTGATGTGAATCTAAAATTACACTAAAAAAGTATATTGGAAAAATAAAATATTAAAATGAAAGAAAGAAGAACCCCAGAGCCTACTTAAAGGAACTCCAGTGAACAAACCTAAAAGAATTTGATCACAAAAAAAGATGTCAGAGAGTAAATTTATAATATATAAGATCATATTGACATAAATAAATAATAAATGAGAGAGAACAGAATAAACTTTACAATGAAACATCCTATATAATAAAAAGCTAAAATGCAAATTGTCCCCTCAGTAATTTGACTGACCAGGAGTTAGCCCTCTTGCTATGATGTATGCTGACCACCAGGGGGCAGCGTGGAACGAAGGAAGGTCCTGGCCAGCAGCCAGGGAAGTAAGGTCCTGATCAGCCCTGATCTCCAGCCAGGCCTAGGGACCCTACCCATGCATGAATTTTGTGCACCAGGCCTCTAGTCAATTTATAAATGTAGAAGAAATGATGGAATTAAAAAGTCATAATTTTGCAACCATCATAGTAATAATGACTAATCAAAAATCATCCATAGATGATAAAACTACTAGGTGAAAGTTTGAAGAGGAACAGAATATTTACTTAGTCTCAAAGGGTTCCCTACAAGTTCCTTATTAATTACAAATGAAAAATAAAGTGAACACAATTTTAACCAAGTGTTCCAAGTTGAGGTCGTCAACTACCTCTGAACCTCCCCAACACTGCCCCTCTGAAGTGTGCCTTGTTTACCTTTATGGGAGTCTGTTTCTTTGGAATTCTGAGAGTTAATCATCAGCTGAAGTAAATCCACTCGGTGCTGGAAGCAGAAGGAAAACTTTCAATGTTAGAAATAAATCAAGAGTGCAATACTAGCCCTAGCTGGTTTGGCTCAGTACATAGAGTGTCGGCCCGCAGATCA